TCTTTACCGATTTTCGAAATTTCGAGCAATAACTGCTTTTCTGAACAATTTTTGGAAAAAAATGTCAAATTTGACAGGGAAGAAAAATCACTTGATAGGTCATATGCATGTCATTTGGCATCATTTTTAAAGCACAACCTAATGGAGATATCAAAAGTTGCTTGAAGAGATGAACAAAAAAAAATCCCATTTGATGCGGACTTGATTGATTAATGGAAAACATTTGGAAAATTATGTTAACACACTTGCCTAATATACAAAAAGTTAGAGAAGGTAGGATTAGGTTGAGGTAAAAAAAATTGAAAAGTTCTTTTCAAATGAAATTTATACTAACTTTAATACATTCAGTTCATCAGATGAACTTGTCCAATTGACACTGCCAGGATGAGTGATCTTGTGTTCCAAGAACCAGAACAGCCTATCCCTCAGATCTCTGATGATAGAGACCGTTCTTTCGGAGTCCGCCGTAAATCTAACCATATTGTTGACACTGACAATGTGCTTCCCATTTGCCTCGGAATGGATGTACCGATCACCGAAAAATAAAATGGGTAATGGATGTACCATCGTGGCGTCGTAAATGAAGTCGCACGTCGATTTCATTTTTTTGTAGTACACCACTAGAGGAAATGAAAAACTCCTCGTACGGCTCAAAACTGATTTTGGATGAAATTTGCACGATTGTCCTGTTTGCATTGAAGTCATGTACGGCTTGATTATTCCCTTTTTAGAAACCCTGTAACAACAAAAAACAATTGACGAAATTATTTTCCTAAAGTGCTTTAGGGTGTTATAACAAATATTCATCATTAGATATAATGAATATCTAATGATATAAATATGAAGAATTTTGTTATCTGAGAGATAAATTAAAAGCTTTGAGAAATACTTGCTATCAAGCATATATAAATAAATCAGAGAATAACATCAACAATAATCCCAACTATTTCTAGATCTGTCAGCGAAAATAGCAATGATTCTGTGAATCTGTCTGTATACTATTTCTTATATACAGGGCTATTCAAATTCGTTTCTGTACATGGGGATCTCGTAAACGATAAGAGATAGAGTGTCGATTAAATTATGGCAAAGTTGCGTATTTTAGAGACCTATTCAATGATGTAAAGAAATCGAATATAGCTCTTTTGGTTCTGGAGATATACAGGAAAAACAAAAAAATCCCAATTTATTTTTTTTTGAAACCAAGTTGCAGCATGTAACACTCTCCTGTCGTTCATATTTAACCAGCCGGTATCCTTCAGTTAATGTGATATTCTTTCTCTTCTTCTAATACCAAAAATTAACCGTAAGCAGGAATTCTGAACTTTTTGTATCTTTTTCTTGAATTGGTTGGTTAAACATAGACCATACAATACATCAGCATAATTGAATATAGATAAAACTAATGATTCGCACAACCTTCACCTTCATGGGTAGGAAATTTCGGTGTCCATATATAATTTTGAGCGAATAATATGCACGCCTAATAAACTGATTAACCAGGCTTTCGAATTTCAAGTTCTTATCTAAAACATGATGCCCAGGCTTTTGGCTTCTGGGACAAACCCAAGTACATGATCATTTACTACTACTTTCACAGATTTGCAAATATCATTTCTAGGGCCTTTTGGTCCGAAAACAATAACATTGGATTTACTACAATTTATATTTAAGCAGTGATCGGAAGCATTTTTCATAAATAATTTTAAGTCACTATTGATTTGAGTACATGCATTATACATCATTTCATGTGAGAAGCTATAATAGAACTGGGTATCGTTTGCATACAAATGTATATTACAAAATTTTAAACATTTTGCAAGATGAGATGTGTAGATAGCACACAAAAGGGGTCCCGAAATAGAGCGCTGTGGCACTCCACATATCAGCTTTAACTATTGTGAGCTGTTTCCTTCTATGGAAACCTTTTGTTGACGGTTGGTGAGATAAGAACTTATACTATAAACTAACAGTGGTTCATTACATTAGCCCTTATATACCACACCTGTAGGTACTAATAGAGGTACTTTCCTTGAAAATGTCCGCATAAGACGAAACTGCAGTAACATTAGTTACACATAAAAGTGGTAAAAAACATAGAAAGTTCAATTTCTCTTTTCTTCACAAATCTGGTCATTTATCAACACTTTACAATAAATGCCTTTGAAAAGAGACAACAGGTTGATTCTATTTGCACAGATTTTTCAAAGGCATTTGACCGAGTTTTTCACATTATGTTGTTGCATAAACCAAACGCTTTTACATTTTTTGAAAATTATTTTACCTACAGAGTCCAATATGTAAAATATGAAAACCCGCTATCTTCACCAATCGCAATCTGGTGTACCTCAGGGATCTCATTTGAGACCATTACTTTTCACCCTAACTATGAATGATGTTATTCTCTATTGTGAATTTCTTCTGTTTGCTGATTATCTGAAGATATTCAAAGTTATTCATGACACATCTGATACTGAATTATTACAGTAGGATTTATCTAACTTTGTACGCTGATGTGATATAAACTTATTACAATTGAATGTAGACAAACGTCATGAATTTACTTTTTACCGAAACAAAAATCCCATGAGTCCATATAAAATCAAGCAATCGGAAAAGGAAACAACAAATACAATCCAAGATTTAGGAATCACTCTTGACCCATATATGTCATTCAAACCCTATATTGCTAATGTAACTTCTAGAGCACTAAAAATGTTAGGCTTCACTCTTAGATCTGCAGAGGAATTTTCTCTCTCTTCTTTAAAAATCATGTATTGTTAAATTGTTGAATCAATAATCGAATACTTCACAATTTGGTGGATATTGATATGCTTGATAATGTTCAAGGCACTCTGGAATATTATATTGGTAAATATAACTTCTTTGATTGACGACTTGTTTATTTTGTGGAAAATCATGTTCACACTTTTGTCTATTTTCCACGATACTTCTTTATTGTTGACTAGTTTCGGCTATTACACCATTTTCAAAACTAACTGATTACATTTAAATCTGAGTAATTTCTACCCAAGTTGCCTATCCTATCATAAATAATTTGGTACCTACATTTTGTATACTTGTAATATCCATGAACATAACCAAAGTTTTTGATATAATGTAGGTTTTGGGAACTGGATTATAGATTCAGGAGAGGACTATTATTTAGATCAAGTTGTTCGTTGAGGACAATAGAATTGGGATTTTTCTTTGACTTGTTTATTCCCATAGATTCCAACAGATTCATCATTTTCCCTTTTTCGCATGTGTGAAGGATCTTTAAATTATCTTTATCTATTTTATGTTTCGAATTTTTAAGATGTTCGTACAGTCATGATTTTTTATCCGAAATGACATGTTCATGGTACGATGGTATCAAAATTTCTACTAGTTTGGCCTGTATATATAGCGGGGCATTCACCACATTCTAGTCGATATATACCAGATCTCTTCCCTTTGTCTAATTTATGTTTGGCATTAAATAATATGTTTCCTAAATTTTCGTTCCTCATTAAAAATTTAAATTTTTTGTGAAACAATTCCATTTCAGTAATAATAATTTTACTGTTCTTGTAGAAGCTAGCTCTTCGGGTATTTCTGCGCATAATATGGCTATTGTATCCTCTGCAAACATTGTGACTTTTTCTATGATAAAATGGTTTTCAAGATCATCTACAGAGTAGAAAAATGGAGGATCCGAGAACAGATCCTTGAAGTACCCTAAAGACACGGCGGGTTGGCTGTCCTTGTTCATGTATCACTGCCTGAACCACTGTGCATGCTGTTTTTGGCGAATACATTGGCTTGGGATGTGGGGGTTGAGCAAAGCGGCCATCAGATGCCTGCTTCCACTTAGCCCCGCTGGGTACGGAAATGATAGAATCACTTGTGGTTCCGTTATTCCCTAACTGAATGGCATCCCAACGATGGCTTAATCATAAGGTGTTATATCAGTGCCTAGAGGATGAATGACACTGAGCCTATCAGCTGTCTTTACGGGTCTACCAAACCTTCGAGATACCGGGCGCCATCTCGTCGTAGCATCGCCTTGTCACGGTAATGCGGGGCTCTGTCGTGATTGACCTTCTTTCTCTAGCTACTCAGAGGAGATGGATGTCTTGCTTACGAATCTTACTGACCTCTCTGTGAATTTAGATCAGGAGCGAGTCTACACAGGAGATGGATGTCGAGTTTACGACTCCAACTGACCTCCCTGTAAATTTAGATCAGAAGCGAGCCTACAGAGGAGATGGATGTCTCGCTTACGACTCCAACTGACCTCCCTGGAAATTTAGTTCAGGAGCGAGTCTACAGAGGAGATGAATGTCGAGTTTACGACTCCAACTGACCTCCCTGTAAATTTAGATCAGAAACGAGCCTACAGAGGAGATGGATGTCTCGCTTACAACTCCAACTGACCTCCCTGTAAATTTGATTCAGGAGCGAGAGCTTCTCAACTCTCCGACTCCTGATCCAATAACTGCACCAAAAAAAAAGGTTTGGTTCGCATAGGTGTATGTTCCGTTATATACAGTGCATTTCTTTAATGTCCACACTCTTTTATTTTTTGAACGGGTAAACTCAAAAAATTGAAATTTTGGGTAATGAAATTATTGCATGAATACTTTATTTTGAAGTAAAATTGACAGATGAAACTTTCAAGACGGCGACTAGGCGCCATCTAGGAAAAAAATTAAATATAAAGGGGGGTCTTATGGCACATCTTTTTGAAGCTCCTGACAAATGCTTCACAACCCTAGAATATAATGTCGATATCTTCAACTACTACAAAATGGCGTAACTTTTAATAATTGCCTAAATACATTGACATTTAATTACATAATATGAGGTAATAAGCTTGAGGTCAGTTCAGAAGATGATCGAAATGGTTACCTTGAACTTGTTGACATATGAACAGCCTATCCGATATTTCACGCCGAACATTTTCGAACACAGTTACGTCAATATCTTTACAAACAGTTATTATTTCCTGCCGTATATCCAACATTGAAGCAAGTTTAGTTTCGTGCACCTTTTGCTTCAAATAGCCCCATAAAAAATGTTCTGAGGTGTCAAATCTGGCGAGCGAGCTGGCCATTCTGTTGGAACTCGACGGCCAATCCAACGACCGGGAAAAGTAGGTGGTGGTGCTCCATCTTGTTGTAATAATATCCATATCGAATTCATTAGGATTCGCTTCGACGATTTCAGTGATGAAAGGGTCAACAGTAGTTTCCAGCATATTCAAATACAGTTCCCCTGTTAAATTTTGATCAATAAATAGAGATGCTACAATATGGTTTCCCAATATTCCTGCCCAAACGTTAATTTTTTCTGGATATTGGCTATGTGTTTCCCGGAAAACGTGAGGGTTGGTGTCACTCCAATAACGGTAATTTTGTCTGTGAACATTACCTTTTAAAAAAATGTACATTCGCCAATAAAACAAATATTGTGGAGATAGGTAGGATGCCTTGCAATGATTTCCTTCATGATTTCAATTTTGTATGAATAAAACCTATTCCTCTTCAAAAGTCTTCCTAACTTGTTTACTTTGTAGTAAATGTTCAAGAGGTAGCAAAAACGAATGTGATTTTCTGGCGAATCAACTAGCGAAGCTTATTGTTAAATCAACTTAAAATGGAACTTTCAACGGGTGATGATCAACTGTATTGCCAAACCTGCGCCAAACTAACTGACTATTATAAGACAACAAGTATAGCTGAGGCACCAGTC